CCACTCACCTCAGCCTCCCAAAGCGCTGGGATTACAGGCTGAGCCACCGAGCCCAGCTGCCTGGGGCTGTTGATAAATGTGTTCACTGTTTTGACTGTAGTGATGGTTTCACAGGTGGATACATACAAGGGGGGATTATCTTTTGGAGGATGGGCGGGCCCTTTGTATTACAGACTTCCCCCTCGAGGTAAGTGTTCTAGGAACCCATTGGCATCAATGTACTGGCTAGCATTGTGAGAGACTGCATTTGGCTTCAGTTAATTTCTCTTTCAGTATGCTTGCCCATTTCGTACTGGATGATTTGCATGAACAAACCTGCCCACATTACTGAGTTTTAAGCAGTTTTGCCCCAAACTGGCATTACCCCTAAGCTCTACCCTCCCTATTCACCTGATCTTGCCTCCAGCAACTTTTTTTGTTTCCTGATTAAAAAGTCCTCAGCGGGAAATGTTTTGCTATCGTGGAAGAGGTGAAACAAAAAAATGGCAGAAGCACTAAAAGGCATTAAAATTGATGAGTTTAAGACCTGTTTTGAGCAGTGGAAAACGCATCTTGATAGGTATATTGCATCAAATGGAGAATACTTTGAAGGTGACTGAAGTTTGTATAAGAATAAATAGTTTGTTATTAATAAATTCTGGGTATTTTTGGTTCCTCCTCGTGTATGAAAACTTATCAAGCTGGGCTCGGTGGCTCAGCCTGTAATCCCGCGCCTTTGGGAGGCTGAGGTGAGTGGATTGCCTGAGCCTGCGGGTTTGAGACCCGCCTGGGCAGCGAGACCTCATCTCTACAATAAATCAAAAATCAGCCGGGCATGGTAGCGCGTGCCTGTAATTCCGGCTACTTGGAAGGCTGAGGCGGAAGGATCGCCGGAGCCCAGCAGGTCGAGACTGCGGTGACCGGGAGCGGCCACTGCACTCCAGTCTGGGTGACAGAGTGAGAATCCAACTCAAAAAAAAAAAAAAGAAAAGAAAACTTATCAAATGGTGCGCTTTATGTGCATTTCATCATATTTATTTCATTGTCTTTTTTGCATCAGAGTCTCACTCTGTTGCCCAGGCTGAAGTGCAGTGGCATGCATGCTCACGGCTACTGCAGCCTTAACCTTCTGGGCTCAGGTGATCCTACTGCCTCAGCCTTCCAAGTAGCTGGAACTACAGGCACACGCCACTATGCCCGGCTAACTTGATTTTGTTAGAAACAAGGACTCGCTATGTTGCCTAGGCTGGTCTCAAACCCATAGGCTCAGGCAATCTTCTTGCTACCTCTTCTGGAAGTGCTGGGATTATAAGTGTGAGTCACCGTGCCTGGTCATTTTGTCATATTATACTTCAAGAAAGCTGAGTTTTTTTGGAGTTGGAGTCTCACTGTCACCCAGACTGGAGTGCAGTGTCTGCTCCCGGACACCACAGTCTCGACCTGCTGGGCTCCAGCGATCCTTCCGCCTCAGCCTTCCAAGTAGCTGGAACTACAGGCAGATGCTACCACGCCCGGCTAATTTTTT